TGAAACCCATTGCCCTCTAACGGCAGCCCAAACCTTACTTTTCCTGTTTTGGGGTGGGTCATCCTTCTACCGCTCTGGCCATGTCCTCTGTGTTCATGGCCTGTCTGCTAAATGGCATATTATTATTATTACTGTATACATCTAAGGTTGCTGGGGCCCCTTTCATTCTCCGCCAATAGATTAGGTAAGGCTATCAGTGGGTACTGGCCCCCTCCTACTCTCTCTCTCTCTCACTGCTTCTTCATGCTCTTCTCCCATATCTATATAGTGCCCTCTGGGAGGTGAAACCGGTCTGTGCATCATTGGTGGAGAGGTTGCTCTATTTCCTTGTTTCCTCTCCTCGCTCAGGTCTCGCATAGTTTGTTCCATTTCTTTCAGCTGTTTCGCACCTCTTCTTACTTCCTCTTCCAATATTTTCACTTTCCTTTTTCTTTCTTCTCTCTCTCTGTCCTCCCTTTCCTGATTCTTCTGCTCCGACTGGGTCCACCCCCCTCCAAGCACCAGGCCTCCCCTGTCGCCGTCACCCGTCAGGCTCATACGACTTTCTTCTTCCTGTAATCTGGACATGTTCTCAACCCCGTCTCGTATAGCTCTTGCTGCTTCTAGCAGTGCCCCACAATATCCAGTGTTGGAGCCATTAGCTTTGGTGCCTCGTATGAGGGTGGTGACGTAGGCAGTTCTGGGTATAATCTGGGCGGGGGTGGAGCCATAGGCAATCTGGATTCTTCTTTCTTGTCCTGCTTCTCCTCGTTGTTCTGTTTTTCTTCCCATATTTTCTTAAGTTTTCCCAACACTGCTAGTCCTATTCTTTCCTTCAGCCTTGCTTTTTCCATTGCTTCCTTGATTTGACCCCTTCTGGGTTCTCCCTCTTTCTTCCATTCACCTTCTGCTTTCTGAGTTCTTCTTTTCAGTGTTTCTAGTATTCTGCCAGGTTCGCCTCCTACAGGCACTCCATCGGGGGATAGTATACAACCATCTTCTATCCATTCCTTATAGAGTTTCTCTCCTCGCCTGCTCCATTCCTTTCCATCTTTTCCTCCGTTTGTTTCAAGGGTGGACTTCAGTACTTTCAGCACCCGTTCCGCCTCTGTGTGTCCCGCCATATTTATGTACACGACACTTCTTTCTTTTTATCTTTATTTTAGAAATTTAAAATGTTTAGGCTATAATTCTATGTCTCACTTTTAATATATATTTTATTTTAATTTCTCTACCCTAGTATATCTATTCCCAATTGTTATTAACGGGTTATACGGTTTAAGCAACCACAGACTTCTTTAACTCCTAATTAGTTTTCTATCAAGGTATACAGGTTTATTAATTTTAATAACCCGCATTCACTCTTTTATTTCATTTGCAATCACTCTTTTATTACACTGGGATCATTCGCACTCTCATTCATACAACACCCTATACTTTAAAGTGCTCCTCCGATCTGGGCTGTACCCCCAAGTACAACTCCCTTCCCGAAGCGCAACACTATAGTGTACTTTAAAGTGCTCCTACGATCCTAGCCGTACTAGTTACGGACCTTGCCGATAGCGCAACACTATCTAAAATTGTAAGTGTCCCTCTGATCCTAGCCGTACCCTCGTAGTTACGATCCTTGCCAGTAGCGCAACACTTTTAATCCAATAATTCCCTATACCCCCAGTTCCCACCCCTGGTGGTCCTAGCCTGAGGATTTCAGTATTTTCCCTGGTCCTAGCCGTACCCTCGTAGTTACGGACCTTGCCGGTGGAACAATACTCTATGGTACCATGGTTTAACACTCACATTCACCAAAGGTTTGCATGTCACAATATGGTGCTTATCTACTCATAATAATTTGTATAATAATTCATAATTTAGTTCACTTACATCAAACAGGTGTTTCACAAAATTAATTTGGATAAAGCCAATGTGCAGAACTTTAGTTATATAACAATAGGTGTCTGCTTACCTGTTTTTAGTTGTCCGGACTCTTTGTGAAACACACCGTCCAACGACAGCGATGTCCAATCGGCCGGACAATACCCAGCAAAGTCCCTCTACCAGATCACGTCCGCGGTCACCAATTGTCAAGTTGCGTCAATTCAAATCTGGTATAGGAACAAAAAGAGGTCAATACACGTCTTCTAAAATAGACTAGTATTTTAATTAATGCAAACACTTGAATGGTAAATATGATGTTCGTATATACTGGCCCACTGAAACACCACGCAGGGCAGTCAGAGAACTAACTTTTGTTATAAATTCTTCTTTAAATACTCTGACAGAGATAGTTCCCGCTCCCTGCTGGGCCTGTCAGAGTAGAGCCTGGGTGTGGTTTAAACTTACCCAACCTATCGATGGCGCACAGGCTGGTCCCAGCCCCTTGGCGCTTACTGTTGCCGGGCATTAGTTGTTATCTTTACAACTTGTCTCGAGTCAGCAACCTCAGACATAGTTTGTCCTTCTTTGTAGCAGAACACATGTCCTTGAGCGGTTTAACAAAGAGGCTGTGTGTGTGAGTCACAAGCCTGTCTCAGCCTACCCCTTAACGGTTCCTCACATTAATCACAGCTTGTTATGTTAAACAATCTATATCAGTACAGCAGAAACCTATTATGTTTAATCATTAATGTATTCTTTCTAAGCTAGGCATCACATCTAGTTGTAAGAGAATGGATCCCCGCAAAGAGCACAGTCAGAACTACACATTTCCGATGATTCCACATTTAGCTCTATCATCAGAGTTATACAGCAAGTAACTGCATGCTTTTCATGATCAGTAAACATCAATTGATCATGTAATTTCAGATACGCAAGGGTAGCCTATCCATCTGGCATGTAGCTAGCTAGCTAGCTAAGAAAACAACATGTTAACAACAAGTGGCATAACCCAGGTGGGTGCTACATTCCTGGCAATGGAGGACCAGTACCAGAGAAGGGCTCCTATGGAGTGACTAACCATTCAGAGAAGCAGGTGTGGTACACTGTTGAAGAGCTCCGGGCCTGTTTTTTCAGACTCAATCAAATGTATTTATAAAGCCCTTTTTACATCAGCAGATGTCACAAAGTGCTTATACAGAAACCCAGCCTAAAACCCCAAACAGCAAGCAATGCAGATGTAGAAGCATGGTGGCTAAGAAAAACTCCCTAGAAAGGCAGGAACCTAGGAAGAAACCTAGAGAGGAACCAGGCTCTGAGTGGTGGACAGTCCTCTTCTGGCTTATAAGAGTACATGGCTATTAAGGCCAGATCGTTCTTCAAAAGTTTACAGATAATAATCACAGTGGTTGTAGAGGGTGTAAAATAAATGTCAGTTGGTTTTTCATAGTTTAGCATTGAGGTCGAGACAGCAGGTGCGGTAGACAGATTATATATATATATATATATAGAAAGAGAGAGCTAATAACATTTCACTCTGTTTCTCCTTGGCTGTCCCATCGATGGCTCTCCACTGCCTTTCCAGGCCCAACTGCCTCAACTTAATCCCAAAACGACTGAGACATTTAAATGTTTTGTTTGCTGTTTTACTTTTTATGCACTTTGATATTGTTTGAAAAGCGCTGTACAAGTTAAAACATGTATGTAATTTAGCTTCCTTCATCAGAGCTAGACATCGGCAAGTCCGCGACCTGATAAAGTTGTCAGTCAGACTTCTGTCATCACCAAACATGGCAAGCAAATCAAACAATATTTGGATATAGCTAGTTGTCAATGGTTTTAGCAGAGCCGGGGGTCTTCTTGCCCCCAGCAGGCAACTCGAACTCTCTGCACCTTATTGTGACGTTTTATTGATAACGACCTATTCGTAAACAAAGCTGCTCTACTTATAATTCGTCAAATCACTTTGAAGTGACCCAAATGATAAATTAATCTTTCATAGATACATTTCGAGATATATTAAACCAAAAAAACTTGACATTCTACTTGGGATTTAATGAGTCTGGCTTTAACCCTAACTTTAACCACACTGCTAACCCTATACCTAACCTTAATTCACTGTCTATCTACTCCGAAATCAGAGCACGAGTCTGATTATGCCAGAGCGCAGAATAACTGATGAATTTACGAACACACCTGTTGAATATGACCGGTGTCAGTAAACTTCGGCAAAAAAAAAATACTTTATTAAATTGTTGCCAGCAGCACAGTTAGTCACTAACGCTCAATATAACATGAAAACAGCCTAACCAACTCTGCTTGAGCGTGTAAAATGGTCAGACTGAGGTTCTCTCTCATTTGTGTCTGGAAGTAGCTAGCAAGTTAGCCAACTTTAGCCAGTTAGCTTGGGTGCTTCATTGCCATTGTGAGGTCAGAACTCTCGGATCAACCCTTCTCCTCCGCCAGAGCGTCCAGTGTGCGCTCTGAACGCTCCGAGATCGAAACGAACAGACAATTTAACAGCGCTCTGAATTTAAGAACGCCCCAGAGCACACTCTGACACACTGGAGAAAATGGACGAACCCGTTGACTTTGTGGCGGTGGTAACTAGTGACACCCGCGAGGACTGCGTTTGACAAACACGTGACGTCAGTTTTAGGCGGGTTTTTCATGGAAAGCGCTGGAAAAAACGAAGTACAGCCACTAGAGTTGATTGATATTCTTCCGCGAGATTAAAACTATCCATAATTTCCACTGTTTTGTATATTTTTTTGTAATATGTGGCAAATTCTGACTACACAGTCCGATGAATACAAAATGTGACATCACGGTATTCAATCATATGCTTCTCTATTCAGTCTGTCCAGTACTAAATGTGAAGATTTGCTTCGAATAAAACTGTGGTCTATAATCCTGCAATGTAATCAAAAATCATAAACCGGCAATTCAAACAAAAGCCTTTCCCGAAGATATTTCTGATAATGTACTAAATATTTCCTAACGCTGAGTGCATGCTAAGGAAATTCATGATGAAGATCATCATGATAGAATTGGGGAAAATAACAATCATTCGATTAAGATATTCACATTTATTTTTAACGTGACAAGCATTTACATGCATTTTAACTTGAATGTAAGGGATTCGTAAAGGAGATGCTGCACCCGCAACAAAGTGCAGCGGATGGATACGCCCGCAGAGTGAAACACACAGAGGGTATAAAGATATCGGTCTTTTAAAAGGAAATCTCTTTCTAGTTTTCTGCGTCAGAGAGACGAGGGGACTGGTGATATTGGCAGCATTTTTTTTCAAGAGAAGTCAACGGAACAAATAAAGGTGTGTACATATTGTCTTAACGCTAAAGCTCATCCATGTACTCAGATATTGTTGCCTTTATCAAATCAGCGCTCAAAAGTTAAGTCACCCTCATGCTAGTCTGCTAACGTTAGCCTAGCATCTCTGGCTTGGTCTAGCATCAGTCGAGAACGTTCGATTCGGTAGCTAGCTAGCAGTCGCGCTAACCAGTTTACAAACGTCTGCTATATTTTACGTACAGAATAATTTCATTCATATTCCGTACACTAAATTATCTAACTAGCCTTTCCGGCAATGTCATTCACCACATTCACTGTGACAACTGATTCTCCGTCTCATTCTGCCTCGTTGTGTGTTACCTAATTATAGCCAACGTTAGATTGGCTTACCTTTTTTGGAAAAGTTATTTGAGGTTAACGTGAGTTAACCAGCAAGTTTAGTTGGCATATAACGTATGTTAACGGGATTGGGTATCAAACTGTCAACGGTTTCGTCAGCATCCTTCTGTTAGCTTTCATTGTCCGGATGGCTAATGCAACTAACAGTAGTTAACACCAGGTAACGTTAGCTGGCTACACTTGTATGGAGTCATTTTAGTGGCAATTTGGACTGCCCTGAAGTTGCAATTGGTTGTACAAAAAAGTGTAGCTAACTAATTACGTTACATATTGGATGCAATGGGAAACCTGGTCATTATTTGACTGCAGTTACGTTAAATTGTACATTCTGGACACCGGCAGCATGACTGCGCGACGGCACGCTAACTAGCTATTTCCTCGTGCATGTCTAGCGTTGCTGAATCGTCGTCGCCTTGGAATCGTCCATTGAATTAGTGACGTGATATCTACGTACCATTTTTAACGTTTAAATTCGGTTAACCTTCTGTTGGAGTTGAGTTCTATATGGATTTCCTGAAATCCCTTCAGAGTTTGTGAAACACGTGCTAGCGACGTCCATTGTCTCCAGGATGTTGCCATGTTGGCTGGTTACTCAACATCCGGTAGTTGGTGTTTAAAAAGGATGAAATGCGACTGATCGTGTATTGATGCATCATTTTATAGTCAATTGTGTGGACAGATTGGCATGAAAATTAACCGTTGGATTTGATGACTTAATTATGGAGGGCATAAATACATATGCATTTCAACTGAAAGCAATTCACTCCCCTTGTTGCTAACAGCACTAGAGTACACATGCATGTGCTTCATTTAATTATGTAATTGAGATATATGGTCATTTGGGCAATTTCATAACATTGCTGCTTTTGCCCCTAGATGCCTGAAGAAATGCGCCAAGAGGAGGAGGCGGAGACCTTTGCCTTCCAGGCAGAGATCGCTCAGCTCATGTCACTGATCATCAACACCTTTTATTCCAACAAGGAGATCTTCCTCAGGGAGTTGATCTCCAACGCCTCTGATGTAAGTGTGTTTTTATTAGGGATGCATCATGCTGTTCAGACACACAGACCAATTGTTGATGCTACTGTACAGCACTTTTTAAATACTTTAGCATCCAGCAAGATCATCCATACAACAAAGTTTTCAGTGCATAGGTATGATTACAACTTTGATGGTGATGTCTGCTTTGTTCAATATTTTTCAGGCTTTGGACAAAATCCGCTACGAAAGTCTGACGGACCCCACCAAGCTGGACAACGGGAAGGAACTGAAGATTGACATCATCCCCAATGTGGAGGAGCGCACCCTGACCCTCATTGACACTGGAATTGGCATGACCAAAGCTGACCTCATCAACAACCTGGGAACCATCGCCAAGTCTGGCACCAAGGCCTTCATGGAGGCCCTGCAAGTAAGTCCATTGCATTACAAGATTATTCACTAATATGAATTCAAATACTATTCTGACGCGCATGAAGAGAACATGTTGTGATCAATTATTTTCCCTCGTTGCTAGGCTGGAGCTGACATCTCCATGATTGGGCAGTTTGGTGTGGGATTCTATTCTGCCTACCTGGTGGCAGAGCGAGTGACGGTCATCACCAAGCACAATGATGACGAGCAGTATATCTGGGAGTCCTCAGCCGGAGGCTCATTCACAGTAAAGGTCGACAGTGGTATGTCTCACTCAATGAAGGCTATGGGGGCGGGTTTGCAAACATTTACAAAATCATGATTGCATTGTTTTTAGACTGGATCACAGGTAGGGCTGTGATGGTCAGCCAAATGGCCATGGTCACTTATAATATATCTATCTCCTCCTGACTGCATGTGCTTCCATAAGAATGGAATGGGCGTCCCCATGCAAGTCGATGATGGCATAATGGGTGTACTGGCGGCCATTGCGAGTGTACCCATAGGATAAAAGCAGGAAATGAAAGCACAACGGTCACCCATCAATATTTTATTTGTACCTTTTATTTAAGGCCAATTGTGCGCCACCCTATGGGACTCCCAATCACGGCCGGTTGTAATACAGCCTGGAATCGAACCAGGGGGTCTGTAGTGACGCCTCAAGCACTGAGATGCAGTGCCTTAGACCGCTGCGCCACTCGGGAGCATAATATGTGCTGTGATTTGATTCATCTAACATTACAAAAGTACATTCCATTGCATGAGCCTCCTCAGTTAACATAATTTGAACGAACGTTCTACATTTACCATGGATATGATTCCATCAAAATACCAGACGGCCATTGCTACCCATGAGTCAAATTGCCAGGGTTAGAGGTTCCAAGGCCATTCTATTGCATAGGCAACCAAAGATTTGTTTGCTACAACACTGTTTCAGCAAGGATCAACAGTTTCATCACGTTGTGAAGTCCATGTTACAGCAGAAACCAACTCACCCGCACGAATGCCCAGGCTTCAGTCGGCTGTTTGTTCCACCCCATTTTATTTGCATGACTGTCTTTATATAAGTCTGTTATACGGTTATTGAGCCAGCCCTAATAACAGGTGTTATTAAACTACATCTATTGTAGTGGCACTGAAATGGGCAAATGGTTTCCTATGGTGGGTGTGTAATATCTGTTGAAATAAATTTCCAGGGGAGCCCATGTTGCGTGGAACTAAGGTGATTCTGCACATGAAGGAGGACCAGACTGAGTACGTTGAGGAGAAGCGGGTCAAGGAGGTGGTCAAGAAGCACTCTCAGTTCATTGGCTATCCCATCACACTCTTCGTGAGTATAGAATTATGGGAATGTTTATGACTAAAACTAAAGTGCGATTAGTGACCATTTATGTAGACCTGGTTGAGGACACTAAAGTAAGGGAATGTTTTTTAGCTTTTGTTGAAGGCTTAAAATAAAATTGCTTCTTTTTTGTTTCTGTGCAGGTTGAGAAGGAGCGTGAAAAGGAGATCAGTGATGATGAGGCTGAGGAGGAGAAGGAAGAGAAGGAGGAAAAGGAGGAGGCTGAGGACAAGCCCAAAATTGAGGACGTGGGCTCGGACGATGAGGAGGATTCCAAGGATAAGGACAAGAAGAAGACTAAGAAGATCAAGGAGAAGTACATTGACCAGGAGGAGTTGAACAAGACCAAGCCCATCTGGACCAGGAACCCTGACGACATCACCATGGAGGAGTACGGCGAGTTCTACAAGAGCCTGACCAATGACTGGGAGGACCACCTAGCTGTCAAGGTACTAACACTGAAATATAGAAATTACAATGAGGTCAAAGTGGTATGCCCATGTTTTCCTAGATGATGGCCTACGCATTACATACGCACTCACACTTTTACACCCATTTGCTGGTGCTACTCTGTTTTATTTTACTTATGCCTAGTCACTTTATCCTGCCTTCATGTACATATCTACCTCAAATATCTGGTACTCTCTGTATATAGCTCCATTCTTGTGTATTTTATTCCTCTTGTGTTACAATTTTTAAACTCTGCATTGTTGGGAAGGGCTCGTAAGCAAGCATAAAGTCTACACCAGTTGTATTGGGCGCATGTGACAAATAAAAATTGGATTTGGGTAGCTCTTATGACTGGAGTTGGCTGCACAAACAAATCTGAGAGCAGGATAAGGTGATGGGATTGTAGTAACCCTCACCTGCTTCTTCCCCCTTTGCAGCACTTCTCAGTGGAGGGCCAGCTGGAGTTCCGCGCCCTGCTATTTATCCCCCGCCGCGCGCCCTTTGACCTCTTTGAGAACAAGAAGAAGAAGAACAACATCAAGCTGTATGTCAGGAGAGTCTTCATCATGGACAGCTGTGAAGAGCTCATCCCTGAGTACCTGAGTAAGTAGTCTAGTCTCCACATAGTCTGGAGGTCCAAAATGGCTGGCACTTTCCGCTGGCCGTGTACAATTTCAATGCCACTGACTACAAAGGCACCGTTGTCTCCTGGATGAGTAGCCTACATGTGAAGAAAATGGCAACTGCAGATAATGCTGCTCTGAAATGGTTGGCTACTTGTCTTCTCTGTAGCCAAGTCTGTGTATACAGTTTGTTTTGCTTTACATAGATTTCTGTAATAGAAATCGCTATAAAAGTTAAATGAATAAATGTCTTCCTTCTCCCGCTACAGACTTTGTGCGTGGTGTGGTGGACTCTGAAGATCTCCCATTGAACATCTCCCGAGAGACGCTGCAGCAGAGCAAGATTCTCAAGGTCATCCGCAAGAACATTGTGAAGAAGTGTATGGAACTGTTTGGTGAGCTGGCAGAGGACAAAGAGAACTACAAGAAGTTATACGATGGCTTCTCCAAGAACCTCAAGGTAACGTCGGGAGATGGTGGGGTGGGGGGGATCAGAATTTATCTTGAGCGACGATTTTTGCTACTAGTAATCTAACTTGTCTTCTGCCACAATTGCTGTCATCTGGTGTTCTTCAGTGCATCAACATGGTTTAAACCAAGGTTTACCTAAAGTGGATCATGGACTAGATGATCGATCTCCTCACACTGTGGTGCTAGTCGTTGTGCTTTGTGCCAAACTAGTATCCGACCCTATTTAGTGGTTAGAAGAACAATTGACTATATTTAGACTGGCTTCAAGAGCCACAGACTTTTCTTAACCTTCAGTAGCTAAATGGTTATATAGAACCGTTCCCTGTGCAATAGTTGAATGTGTCGTGAACTACTATTGAAAACCTAGTTATACTAATGGTAATTGTTTCTCTGCAGCTGGGGATCCACGAGGACTCCCAAAACCGCAAGAAGCTGTCCGAGCTGCTGCGCTACCACAGCTCCCAGTCCGGAGACGAGTTGACCTCCCTCACAGAGTACCTCACCCGCATGAAGGACAACCAGAAATCCATCTACTACATAACTGGTGGGTCTAGTTACACATTCAGTCACAATAACGTTGCGCTCCAAGCCCAATAGCAGTCATTGAATTACTTAGACACAGAAGTTGACTGACACCACATTTTTCTTCAGGCGAGAGCAAGGACCAGGTGGCAAACTCTGCCTTTGTGGAACGTGTGCACAAGCGTGGCTTCGAGGTCCTGTACATGACGGAGCCCATCGACGAGTACTGTGTCCAGCAGCTGAAGGAGTTTGACGGCAAAACCCTGGTCTCTGTAACCAAGGAGGGCTTGGAGCTGCCTGAGGACGAGGAGGAGAAGAAGAAGATGGAGGAGGACAAGACCAGGTTTGAGAACCTCTGCAAGCTCATGAAGGAGATCCTGGACAAGAAAGTAGAGAAGGTAAATGATGGGAACCAACCTGTGCTTTCTGCAATGAGAAATTAGCCATGATATTATTCTTTCTGTGCTCTGAATTTTGGTGATTGACAATTTGACTTTTATTTTTGGTTGTGAACAGGTGCCCTAGTTCATCATAAGCTAATATTGACCCTGGTGAGTCCTTTGACCATGTGTATTGAAGTGGTCCTGTCCCATTAGGCTCACGCGTTGTGATGCTGTCCCGGCTTTGCCATTGACTTGAATGGGAATGCCCAATGTGTCGTGATGTAGTTTTTGTCCCCAGAAGGGGGTTGTGATATTACCCAGAAACTAGAAGACCTTGTGAGTTTGTGACGCATCGTTTCTTTAGTGTTGACTGCTTGTGATAATAACTTTCTAACATTGACAACCTTTTTCAGATTTGAGAATTTGCCTGTTTGACTACATTTTGGATGGTGTTTTATGTGAACTCTAACAACTTTCCTGCACAATATTTAATTTAGGATTTTGTTACGTTTTAAAAATTATCTTAACTATTCAATTTAGGGTCAACTTGCCTGCACTGGCTTGTCACCTGCACATTGTATGCTGTTAGCATGTGAAGTAACATTCGCCCCTCTGCCCCTTCAGGTGACTGTGTCAAACAGGCTTGTGTCTTCGCCTTGCTGCATCGTGACCAGCACGTATGGCTGGACGGCCAACATGGAGCGCATCATGAAGGCACAGGCCCTGAGGGACAACTCCACAATGGGCTACATGATGGCCAAGAAGCACCTGGAGATCAACCCAGACCACCCCATCGTGGAGACCCTGAGGCAGAAGGCTGACCTGGACAAGAACGACAAGGCAGTGAAGGACTTAGTCATCCTATTGTTCGAGACGGCGTTGCTCTCTTCAGGCTTCAGCCTAGATGACCCCCAGACTCACTCTAACCGCATCTACAGGATGATCAAGCTGGGCCTGGGTAAGGATGCACACTCAGAACTGTTAGGGGAGAGGAAACTGTTCTCTAAACGGTAACATGGTTGACTATAATGGAAATGTGGCTGTAGGCTGGATCTAATTTTTTTTCCCCTTCAGGAATTGATGATGACGAAGTGATCCCTGAGGAGCCCACCTCTGCACCTGCCCCAGATGAGATCCCACCTCTAGAGGGAGACGATGACGCTTCACGCATGGAGGAAGTGGATTAAATGCCATCTCAAATCTACCCCTTATGTAGTGTCACTTTTCTTTTTTCCCAATCGAATCTGTTTATTTACTTTTTTTTTACTGGAGAAACCTGGTTGTGTCTTATGGTATAACAATCAATATCTTAACTCATGCTGCCCAGTGTTGCTCTTGTCTTGAGCCTTCAGTGAAAATTCTAGAGAAGATGATTTTGTTGTACGAGCTGTGTAATAATAGTTAACGGTGGGCAACTTGGGGGGGGGGGGGGGGGGGGGGGTGTGTAACTGTACCTTGTTGCACTGAGTCTTAAATATTGGACTGGTAGCTGTGTTGGGGAAATTGAACATTCCATTAGACTGACACTGAAGGTGGGTTTTTCTGATGTGCAACTTGCATGCTGCTTGGAGTGGACTGCAAGAATCCTTTGCCTGAATCCAGATTTGTCTTTTTTTTTTTGTGTGCAAAAATTAAAAGACTTAGTACCTTTTTTAAATGTTCTAATTTGTGGTCTGGACTGTTTGCTTCCTAACATTAGAAACTGGCGGTTGTGATGAATGTCAGATCCCCATTCAAAGAACCACTAGTTGTCCCTGTTTCTTTTAACCTTTCACAATCTTTTTAGGCTTTTGCCACAAAGTGGCAAAAACAGTACAGGAGTTGTTTGAACAGTTGACACAGCAGGCCATGAGCCACAACATTTCAGGAAAACTATACTTAAAAGATAAATGCAACGATTTCACTGATTTAGTTCTATAGACATCGGGCAATTTATATAATTAATCTCTGGATTTCACATGACTGGGAAATGGTGCAGCCATGGGAGGGTGTATATCCACCCACTTGGGAGCCAGTCCCAGCCAATCGGCATGAGTTTTTCCCCACAAAATGGCCTTTATTACAGACACGTACTCAGTTTTATCAGCTGTCGGGGGGGCTGGTCTCAGACCAAGCTGGATGTGGAGGTACTGGGCTGGCGTGTTTACATGTGGTCTGCGGCAGTGAGGCCGATTGGACGTACTGCCATTCGCTAAAATGACGTTGATAGAGAAATTGAAATTACATTCTCTGGCAACAGCTCTGATGGACATTCCTGCAGTCAGCATGGCAATTGCAGGTTCCCTCAACTTGACATCTGTGGCCTTTTACTGTCCCCAGCACAAGGCGCAATGATCAAGCTGTTTAATCAGATTCTTGATATGCCACACCTGTCAGCTGGATGGATTGTCTTGGCAAAGGAGAAATGCTCACTAACAGGGATGTGCACAATTAGCAGTGGTGGGAAAAAGTACACAATTGTCATACTTGAGTAAAAGTAAAGATGCCTTAATAGAAAATGACTTGTGAAAGTCACCCAATAAGATCCTATTTACATTTTAGTCATTTAGCAGACGCTCTTGTCCATAGTGACTTAGTTAGTGAATGCATACATGTTTTTTGTCATACCCCGTGGGAAACGAACCCACATCCCTGCCGGCCAAACCCTCCCCTACCTTGGAAGATGCTGGACCAATTGTGCGCCAATTGAGAAAGTATTTGGTTTAAATAAGTATCAAAAGTAAATGTAATTGCTAAAATATACTTAAGTATCAAGTTAAAGTATAAATTATTTATATTAAGCAAACCAGAAGGCACCATTTTCTTGTTTTTTACATTTACGGATAGCCAAGGGCATGCTCCAACACTCAGACATAATTTGCAATTAATTTATTATTGCAACAATAATACCAATTTTAAACAATACAGGGACATTCCTGTGAATACAATGGGAAAAATAAAATAAAAGACTAAGCGAACCCCCCAAAAAAAGATTAATTCATGACATCATTTAGATGTGACAAGGCAATGAGACATTCAGAGACATGACTTCTAATCATTTTTCCAACTTTAAGTTTCACAAGTTTGAGGGATTTATACAATTTTAACAGTTCAATTAAAAAAACTACAAAATAAGGAATTTTCCCACCCCATTTACATTTGTGAATAGAATATTTGGCCAAGAGAATAATGTTAATAAAATAGTTATGATCGGAATTACGAGGATAAGCATAATGCCATTTAACGTCATCAAAGGTAAACATAGGTAATTTTGGAGATTTTATACACAACCATTCATTAATTTAAACTAGAATGGCGGCATGAAAAAAAAAAAGGCTTTTTATCAAAATTGACCTTTTTGTGCAAGAAATCATGAGTTTCTTTAACTTTTGGAATAACTGGACAATTAAGGTAAAAGGTAGTCGCTTTTGACCATAGCATGGGTTGATCACTTCCATAGCAATATATTGAATTATAATCACCAAAAATGACTTAATTAACTGCCAATCGTATCCACATATTGTTGATTTTTTTTATTCAAAAGGTTCAAGTCATTAATTTGTAAACTTGGAAAAGTGGGAACAACCTCATAATATAACAAAGTGTTCTTAATATGTCCAAGTAAAGGAAGTGGAATTGCTTTGCAAACCTTAATATATTCTCTCTGAGTAATATTAACCTGAAATGTACCAATGAACTCATCAAATGGCAGAAACTCTAACAAATCACATTCAAAAGTAATACCCTTGTCAAACCAAAGGCCTTTGAAAATGGATTTCCTATTAATTGTAATAACTCTATTATTCCAAATCAATGTTTTATGGGGGGATGGTGCTTGAATATCATTTTCCAGACAAATAAAATGTGCTGCTGAAACTTAGACAATTTCACAGGTAATTTTGGAGGGTCAAAATCACATTTCATTAGGAATTCAAGTCCACCAAGTTTATTAAACATACTGTTAGGGATATGATACCACATAGAGGTAGGATTAGACTGACATCATTTCAACCATTTAATTCTAAAAGTACCCACTAACGACTCAAAATCAATAGCCTGTAAACCTCCACGATCATAGTCTTTCACTAATTGAGATTTCCGAATATAATGCGTTTTATTCCTCCAAATAAATCTAAATATAACAGAATTGACTTTTTTGATGTTATTAGAAGAAAGAAAAAGGGACTGACTTGGGTAAATGATTCTAGATAAACCATCAGTCTTGGACAAAAGAATGTGACCAAAAATGGAGATATCACGTTGCTCCCACTGACTTAATGAAACTCTCATGGAATTAATCCTACTATCAATGTTTAAAGATTCTCTATCTGAAAAGTTTTTAGTGATAACAATTCCTAAATATTTAACTTCCATTTTAACAGGTATGGAGGCAATGTTGATGGAGTCACAGCAATGAATTGGCATGACATCACATTTGTTAAGGTTGAGAGTCAACCCAGAGGCCATAGAACATTTCTTGATTATGTCAATAGCCAAGAGAATAGCCGCCCTATCATTTAGGAAAAGGTCAGTATCATTTGCAAATTGACTGATATTTATATTTTTACTAAAAATAGGGATCCCTTTTAAATTATCTGTTTGTTAAGAAATACGGATAGTAAATCTGTGGCTAAAATAAATAAAAGGGGAGATTGGACAACCCTGTCTAATTCCTCTAGCAATCGAGAAACGAGGGGATGTTCCATTACTCATAGCCACCGAACTGCTAATATCATTATACATCATCCTTATCACTTTACAGAAATTCTCCTGAACCCAAAAGTAGAGCTAGTTGTAAATAAAAAGTTGTGCTCTGAAGTGTCAAAAGCCTTTAAAAAATCTAAAAAGAATATAAAGCCATTATCTTCTATGAACTCACTGTAATCTAAAATATCTAATACCAATCATATTAGGTTATGAATACTCCTTCCTTTAATGAAGGCTGATTGAGTTTCACTGATTATATAATCAAGGCCTTTTTTCAGCCTATTGGCATAGACATGGGCTAGTAACTTACAGTCAGTTGCCAACAACGTGATTGGTCTCCAATTGTCCAGGTAAAGAGAGTCCTTCTTTGGTTTGGGTATAATAACTATTAGTCCCTGTCTCAAAGGAGGAGGTAAAATAGCATTAGCAATACCCTCTTTGTAGACCGAAATCAATAACTCTCTAATATCAGGCTAAAAATGTCGATAGAATTCAGGAGTCAGGCCATCTGGTCCAGGAGATTTACCTATAGGCATTTGTTTAATGGCTTGGTCCAACTCAGTAATATCTATATCAGAATCACAGTTTCTTCAACCTTTCTTCTATAGGCTTAACAGAGTTATTAACTGAATCAAAAAAAGGAATCCAAGTCGCATTCCGAAAGATGAGATTGATACAGTGTATTGTAGAAAGAGTGTATTTCCTTATTAATCACTTCAAGATCATCAGATATAGTGTCATTTACATAAATGGAGGAAATACTATTCATAGTCTGCCTACTTTTCTCCAAATCCATTTGGCCTTTGAAAGGATGAAGGCACCCTGTGCCTTATCGTTGTATATGTCATCCAGTTCACATTGGCATTTAGCAAGCCCGGCTTTTTCATCTTAATTTAAATCAAGTTTATTACTCAGCCTGTTAATATCAACAATAATATCCATCTGCTTGGAGAATCTTTTCCGAGCTAGCATTTTACCAGTAGTGATGGCAAGACATCGAATTCTGAATGTAATCATTTGTTAGTAGAAGAAAGAGCAGAATGGAGACAGGTCTCTCTGATAAGATCTTTATACTATAAACAAAATGACTCATTCTTTAAAAGAAAATAGTTAAATTTCCAGTATGCTTTAGAAAATCTCTTGTCATTATCAAAACAAAAGGAAAGAATAATGGAACAATGGTCTGTCTGAGGAGCTGAGGAAACACTACATTCACTGACAAGATTCATAATTATTGGAAGATACTAGATTTTAATTCTGTCGCTAGTTGTAGAGTTACCCCAAGAAAATTGTTTTAAAGTTGGATTCTGAGAACGCCAAATATCGGAAAGTTGAAAGTTGGAGCAGAAATGTAGAATTAAGTTATTAAAACAATGGGCTGAATGCCTGGTGGGATACCTACCCATCCAGTCATCAGTAGCAACAATAATGTTATCTGTTGAATATTTGTTTTTCAACTCAGTTAAGACTTTACTAATAGATGTTAGAAGAAGATTGTTTTTTGACCGTATATTATAACCATAAATATTTAGCAATATGTAACGTGACCCTTTATAGTCGAAAACAATAGTTATCCAGTGACCCTTATCATCACACCTGCTTTCTAAAACTCTACCTGGAAAACGTCTTAAAAAAGTATTGCCACACCAGCAGAATGAGATGAGCCATAGCTAAAAATGATCTTATCACCCCATTGAGAAGTCCAACATTTTAAGTCAGCATCTGAGGAATGTGTCTCTTGAAATAAAAAACTGTTGGACTTTAATGAATCTTTACAAAAACAAAAAATAGCCTTGCGTTTTGTATTGTTACGTAAACCCCTAGTGTTCAAGGATAAAAAGGAAAGAGAAATGTTGAAGAGAAGAGTATCCGAGAAAAAGAGTTGTCTAGAATAAACAGGGAC